GTCCAAGGCAAATTATGCTGGGCAATCAATTTAATTACCCATTTGGTCTGGAGTGCTTTAAGTTGGTGATCTGGGTCTAAAATCCCCAGTCCTCCTTGCTGCTTCGGTCTGATAACATGCTTCCATGCCACCTTGGAAATGAAGTGTACGCACATTGCATTAGATGTCCATAAGTAGGCCGCTGCCCTTCTTCTCAGCAGTGTTAACGTAGTATTTGGCGGGGTCCAAATTGACCCTGCATACCAGATCATAGAAAAGATAGATGCATTTAATATGAGTGCCCTCTCGAATATAGAAGTGTAGACATTCGACTAAGCCCCCAGCTTACCCAGGATCTTGGACATTAGATCTGCTGCCTTGGAGTGTTGTGTACCTACTTCTGTAATCTTCACGCCTAGATATCTAATCGGGGCCTGTGGGGACGTCCATTGTAGACCTTCCGGGCATTCAACCGGGAGTTGCTCTTCTTGCCCTTGCTCACCCAACCATCAACCCTCCGTTTTCTGCCAGTTACTTTCATTTCTGATGCCAATTGAAAAGCCTCCATTGCCCTTGTTAGTGCTTGAAATGATGAGTCCGATGCCCTAATGAGCACTGTTAGATCATCAGCAAATAAAAGAGTTGTGGGAAGCTGAACTGAGTGACCCTGTTGATCCGGTTCCGCCACTAGCCTTTGAATTGAAGGATCCTTCCGCAAGAAGGAGGCAACGACCTCCATTATGAACAGGAAGATCGGCGCCGCTAACGGGTCACCTTGCCTGACTGATCTCGACATTCTATAGGTTGCTGACAAATGACCATTAACTTGTACTTGGCCTTGCACATTGTTATATAAAACCCTCATCCATTTCCTAAAATTCGGACCTACCCCCATCTTTTCCATGCATTGCTACAGAAAGGGCCAGCTGACCTGGTCATAAGCCTTCTCAAAGTCGAAGAACAGTATTGCAGCATTAATACGTTTATCTCTTATATACCTCACTGTCTCAGTCAGAGTCATGACATTGTCTAAGATGAACCTTCCCGGTATAAATCCTGTCTGGTCCAAATGAAAACAACTCGCTGTTAGAGGAGTGAGTCTGTTTACTAATGCTTTGGCTACTATCTTATGCGTGAGTGTTAGCAACATAATTGGCCTATAATTCCGAATGTCCGAAGGGATCCCTTTCTTGTATAATAGTGTCACTACTCCTGTTGCCGGATCCTGTCCTAATCCTTCGTCCTGCCATGATTGCTCCAGATAGGCTAGGTATTCTTCTCCTAGGATTGGCCAAAACTCCAACCAAAATTCCCTGGTCAATCCGTCCTTTCCCGGGGTCTTGTTTGGAGCCATAGACTTCAAGGCCTCCCATAACTCCTGCATCAAAGGTACATCCAGCCTTGCCGCTTGCTGCGGAGAGATCGTAGGTTGCAAATATCTCAAAAAATTCGACCGTGCCTCTTTAACCTGATGCTCTGGGTGGTCAGCCTCACTTGATGCATAAAGATTACTGTAAAAGTTATAGGCTACTTGGACCATCTCTTCTGTGACCGATGTAAGGCCTAAAGGACCCTCCAGTTGATCTATCTGAGCGTTTCTTCCCCTTTTCTGAAAGAAGAACTTTGTCATTCTCTCTCCCCCCTCCCATTCCCTGACCCTGGCTCTTCAGTCTCCAACGTTCCCAATCGGCCAACTCCTCCCTTGCCAATTCGAAAGCCCTTTCATACATTTCTTGACCAGGATAACTTATCATGTTGCGTTCCGCTAGCTTCATCACATGCTGGAGCTCGCACTCCCTTTCCCTTCTTCTAGCCGCCAGACTTCTAGCTACTCCCGCCGAGGCTTTAGAAAGTGCGTTTAGCCGATCTGGGAATGTTTGGGTATCCGGATTGTGTGACTGACATACTTGCAGTACCGCCTGTCTCATTTCTGAAGTTCGCAACAGTGAGTTATTTAAGTTGTAAAAGCCCTTCCCCTTTATGACTTGTTTGCCCGTTTTGAGATGGAGAAAAATCGGTTTATGGTCCAATCCCACTGCAAAGGGTAGATTTCCAATGCCCACCGATGGTATCATACCTATTATGCTACGAGATGTTAGAAAATAATCTATCCTAGACGCAGACACGTGCTGAGGTTCCTTTTTAAATATGTGTACCGTCTTTCATCTGGATATTGCAGTCTATAGGGATCCACTAAATCTCTATTTGT